TTTACATTTTGGAAAATTGGCACCATTGGCTGATTTACCTATGGATGTACAGACAACATTCACTATAGTATACTTTCATACTGGAGAAAATCTGAAAATTCTCAGGCAAGTTCTGGAGTTATAAGGAGCTTATTTTTCTGTGATTTCAAAGCAGACTTATGGAAGTGTCACACTAAAAAAACTAAAATATTTGCATCATGTCTGTGTTTTCATATTTTACTGAGTTATGAAGCATTTTGACTCAAATTGCAGCAATCAGGCACTAAGGGTTTTAAAGTACCTCAATTGCTTCCCTGAGTTGTCACAGCCTCTGCTGCAGCTGGTCGTGTTGGTATGGGCCAAATTGGCCAAACTATAATAACTAACTTCCTGTTGTGGTCAGAACACTGGCGTCGAAATGTGTTTCCCCATTGATATGCGTTTCCTTGCACACATTGCTTGCACACAACCTTATCGCCAACCACTTATCTCTGCTACGCCTGACCATAGTCTAGAGTAAGCCCTAACCCCAACTGTGGAGGGGAGGAGAGAGAACAGGAGGGAAGCACTACTTAAGGAGGAAACAGAAAAGATGTATGGTATCTTAGGATGAAATTTCTAGCACACGGTCAGTGAAATGTTTGTGTGAATGAGGTCAGAGCACAGGGTTGATTTGAACAGCTTGGTGAACCAAACCTCATGCCCAACCCAAAGATGCCAAACCAATTTGCCATGTGCTCTCAGGGGCTCTATCTAATTACTAGTCACATATGGGCTAATTCTCACTGTCTGCAGCCTATGCAAACAAACAGCTCAGTGAAAAGGGCATGGCCTCCTGACTACACATCCATCCTCTGGGAGAGATCCTGTTTCTGTAATGATCTTGGGATTAAGTTCGGTGGTGCTAAGACCTTACTGACAAAGAAAGGGTTAAGAAAAGCAGGAAAGCTCTTATGATGTTTTTCTAGGTTAATGAATGGATCCAAGTCTAGTCCAGTGTCAGATTAATATTGTAATAGGTAAGTGTCTGTTGATGTAGCCAACTAAATACTGTTTGTAGACTACCCTGTACAATTATAGGGCAAGAATTTTAACTTGTGTTGTTTTATTACACTCATGCACGCACACATAGAACTCTTTCTAGTATAGCCAAGCTCTTCATCCCTGCTCCATCACAATCCCTATCAAAAAGAGAAAACTAATTCCAGTATAAACCAGATGCTAACAAGAACTGCACTGCAATCCAATTCATTCTGCACCATCATTTCTAAACAACTCCCTCTGGAAGTAAACCAATACAGTGTGTAAACAGTTTAACATCTAACCAAAACTATGCCGCAATCAGAAGAAAAATGTGTTTGGTGCACCACTAGCATTATTTAGTTAATCACCAGATATATTTATATAAATGAGGTGTATTTAGATGTTGAGTGTGTGTTTTCCATCCTATAAACATGACTGACTTTAACACACTCTGGAATAAGTCCCAAGCTCCTTGTAGGAATGTTAGCACTGCAAACAAAAGGTAGTGTTACTTCATTTTTTTCCAGCTAGCAAGTGGCCACCATGATAGAATGCATCCAGCACTGTAGTCAAGGCTCTGTAATATATATGGCTCCCTCCTGCAATGCATTTCATTGCAGGAGACAGTGGCGGCAACTGGCTGAACATTGTCCAAAGCTGGTCATATGCTGCATTTTAACTGCTGCAAGTGGGCATAAATCCTAATGTTTAACTGTGCTATTAAAGCCTCCGGCTAATTGGCTTCGGCTTGAGCTGGTATTTTTAATAGGGCAATAATGTGGGACAAAAACTGTTTAGCCTCCACCCAACTGAATTAACCTCGTACCTCAGTGTATGCCTTATAGGTATAAAGATTTTATTAGGACAAATAGTATGTATGGAATTTTACAGCATTTCACTGTCTAAACAGTTAAGTATTAAGTGTTGACTGGAATAAGCATGATACATAAGTTCTAAAATTGTTACCTCCCCAGTATAAATGATTGTATTAGTGGGTTCACTTGTTTAAGATCCTTTCTTCCTTTGCTGCTGTGTGTTGGGG